TATGAAACCAGTCCCTGGTGCCAAAAAGGTTGGGGACTGCTGTTTTAAAGTCTGTCTCTTTCCCATCTCTTCCATGATAGAAACCTGTTTGTGTGTGGACACAAACTAATGCGTAGTTACTAATCAGTTAAATTGCTTAGTATAATATTTTCCTTACAAATTTCAGTTAAGTGGGCATTTGAGGGTATATTCACCCAGCAGTTTTTCTTTCCCGTGACCCTCCGTTTGGTCTTCATGGCTGTCTCATAGTCGTAGTAAGTGTGGGTTTGCTGTTTGCCACATACCCTTCCTGGGCCTTGTAGAGGTCCCTGTACAATCGGTCTCTCTCTCATATTCTCTCTCTCATTCTCTGTCTCTCTCTGAGTATGTTTCTTCTGCCCCACCATTCCATGCACTGAGCTCTGCTTGCAGGCCTGGGAACCTTGTCCCTCTAACTGTGCAGTTATCCGCTTGCAGGCGCCATATGTGGGCTTGGAAGGGTGTCCCCGAGACTGTCTCAGTGCCTCGTTTCCAGATTTACTAGACAAAGTGCCACTCTGACCCCCATGCCCTGATGACAGTCACCACTGACATTCAGCTGCCAGATGCAAATTATAACCCTATATTTGCTACAGTGACCTGGCCAGTTTTCAAAGTCCTTTTTCACACGTTTTTATTTGAACTTCCCAGTAATCAGGCAGGATTGTAAGGGCCACTTTCACAGGTGAGGAGTGACATGAATTGCCTTACATCACACAGTTAGTAACCAAGGTTACCACGGGCCCCTTGCAAAAACACTAGACCAGCTAAGCAAAGAGTGGGGAGGGGATGCCAGGGGGTGGAGTAGGAAACATATTTCTGTGTTCCTCCCCACACAAGGCGACAGCCTTCCGTGTTACTGAACAGACGCCCTGCCTTCCCAAGTATGCAGAGCTTGCATTGGATTATTTGATCCATGCCTTGGTGCATCCCAAGTACAACATCTGCGTCAGAGATAAGTCTGCCCAGAGACAAACTCATTCTCCCACCCCAAGAAGCTCAGGGGTACATTGCTGTGTAGATACACCAGGTTTGCCCCACTTCTAGCCAATCAAGAGTTCAGATATTGATAGCCATCTAATCTCAGAGAAATTTAAAAACTAAATTAAGGATTAAAAAAAAAAATCTTTACATGTCTGGTTTTTAAAGTCTCCATTATACTGGACAGGAAGTTTCTGGAACAATCATATCAGCACGTGACCTTGGAAACTCAAGTGAACTTGAGCCCACAACGTCTGCCCGTGGCCCTGCCCGGCTCCTTGGTATCCCACTGCGTCTAGCCTGCTTCATAGAGGAGAACAAAACTGACCCAAACACCTCCTGCTGCGGACTTCAAATGAACTGCAGTTTCTCCTCCCTTCCCAGAGAAAGCTCGAGCATGGCTGCGCCCGGCAGCCGGCTTCACTGGGCTTTCTTTCACCCGCTCTGGGGTGGTGAAGACTCTCTGGCAGGAATATGGCACTTTAAATACAGAATTTATTTTCTTTTTAAAGACCTTCTTCAAGCTGATCCCCCCCCCCCTTGGCTCTCTGTGAGGATTTGTTATCTAAGTTCATCTACGTACGCTCACTCTAACTCACAGGGTGTAAAAGAGTCGTAGTTTTTACTTGTTATCCCTCTTTGCCTTAAAAATGAGATTCCTCATAAGTTTCCTGATTGCCAATTCTGAGCAAAACTTGATGCCTTATGAATATGTAGAGGAATTTTAATAACATGATGTGAATGCAGCAGCCCTGCGTGTTCTGAAAGATGTTGCCAGAGCCCCGTGAGACTTCCAGAAGCTCATGGAAGATGAGGCTTCCTGCAGAGGAGAGGGAAATGAGAGAATAGGACATGATTGGCTGGGTTCCGGTTACTGCGACTTAGCATGAGAAATGCTTGCTGCCTTGTGTCTCTCTCTTAATTCTCCCCGGGCTGCAGGAGCCTGTGTTCCGTAAGTCACTCGGCCCAGGTCTGCTCAGCTCCGCACCTGCCTGTGTTAAGTGGGACCTAATTGCAGAGGTTAGCTGCCTCCTATTGTGGAGTCCTTATTTCATTAGCGTTCCAGATTGGCTTCTTGGGAGTGACAGTCTTTGGTAATTTGTTTACAGTTGAAGCCTTGCAGATTCTCACTTCCTTTAATCTAACAATCTGCTAATTCTTAAAATTGGAGGAAAACAAAATGGGAAAAAAAAAACCCAGCCTATCAGTCTGCTCATAAGTAGAGACTTAGCTGTCAGGAGCTCTAATGAGGTATGATATTAATTCCAGAATTCCAGAATGCGTTTTTACCCCCAAACAGCAGTGACTAGTATATTATGCAGTTTTCTCATGATTAATTAAAACAATAACTACAATAAATAAAAGAAGCCCGTTTTGTGATCCTGACCTAATTGCTTTTTAATTTCGCTGCTTTTCTTGTTTATTTTCAAAATTTGCTTCTTTGAAGTAGTCATCGGGGAGAGTCGGGGGCTGGGGAGCGTTTTCTCTTCGCTGTGCCCGTTCACGCGAGTGGCTGGTCATCGTCGTTCAGCAGCTGCTTCAGTGTCCGCTTCAGTCCTTAGCTGCTAAATGTTTCTAGCCGTGGCCGAGCGCCAAAGATGATTTTTTTTTTAATCTATCTCCTTTTCACACTGATTGATTTCCCATTTAAAATAGGTATTATCTTTAATTCTGGGAGCAGATAATTTGTGGCTCCGGTAAACAACATGAAGAGCTAGAGCATAAAACACATTTTATTTTTCTTAACGTATCCGTCCCGTGGAAGGTGCAGAGATGGAGGGAATTCCTCCCTGAAATAAACTGGCAATAGACAGATTTGCCCGGAAAAAAAGACACAGCAATTTTACCAATGTGCAGGTGCACGCAGGAGCCACCCGGAATGGGAGACTCAAAGGGGCCGAGTGGTTGGGGCTTCGTTAGGGGAGAGGGAAGTGGGGATGTGGGCAATTTTGGAGGAAGAGCCAGTGATATTTAGGGGAGAGGAGCAGGCCTAGAGAGCAGGCAGTAGCCTGGGACTAAGTTCCTCTGGGTTCAGGAGGGGTGGCAACAAGTCATGGAAGGTGAGGGGCTGATGGAACTGTACTCTGAACAAGGGTCCTCCTGTTATGCAGATAAAGTCTCCCAGCTAACAGCCCTTGGAAGAATATCTGAAAGGACAGGTGAAAAATGTGTCCCGGAGTGGTGTCCTGGGGTGGAAAGTTTTCCTTTCCTTTCCTGCTCTATGATGAGTCAGTCTTCTCTGGCTAACTTAGATTTCAGAAAGGGGGTTCAAGACAGGCTCATGCCTTCTGGATAAAATTCCGTCTGTCAGATAAGGGAGCTTCAGAGAAGGCCCCTCCCCGGGCTTCCGAAGAGAAGAGGGTGGGCAGAAGGAGGTCAGAGAGAGACCTTGGTCTCTCTCCTAAGGTCTTTGAATCTCCTTTGCTCAAAGCACTCGGCGTGCCCAAGCACCATAATTTTGGGGTATCATTTTCTGAGCCCCAACAAAGGCTTTCAGCTTCTGCAATACCAGTGGCAGCATGTGTGACTGCTAGAGTGGCAGGAACATTCTGCAGATGATAAATGCCAGCATGGAGGGACCTCGGCATGGAGCAAACAGGTCCCTCTTGCTGTCTCACAAGCAAAGCGGTTTCATCCTCACAATCACTGGGCATCAAACGTGATCACTCAAAAACTGTTTTCTTCAAGCCAGAGATGCTTTAGCTGCCTGCCCTAGCCTTTTCTCCACGCTAGTATCAACAGTCACCAATTTGATAACTAGATGAGTGTCATCAAACCACAATTCGCCTGATTCCAGCCGTCCTCTCAAGCTGTAAGCACCCCAGAGGTGTTCTTCTCTTGGGATTCTCTGCAAATATCACTCTGTGTGGTATGTTCTTCAAATCACAGACCCTGCTTTGAACAGCTCCCTGTGATAGATTCTGCTGAGCCTGATCCTGCCTTTACTGGTTATTTCTAGTGTATGATACTTTAGAATCTCCAACCTAGAGCTGTCAGAGCTTTATTTTTATTTTATGTATTTGTTGTATTCTGTATGTGTTGGTTTTATTTTTAGAGGCAGGGACTTGCTCTGTCACCCAGGCTAGAGTGCAGTGGTGTCCGCATACTCATGGCAGCCTCTAATTCCTGGGCTCCAGCGATCTCCACGCCTTAGCCTCTTGGGTAGCTGGGACTACAGGCGAACACCACAACGTGAGGCCAGAGTTTTGGTTTTCAAAATAGCCATTTAGTGTCCTTTGGTCTTAATGTCTTTTTTGTAGAGCCCAAACTTGAAAAGTGCCTTGCTGAAATCTGCCTGCGCTTTGTAGGCCTGGCCCCTGAACCGACTTCTGTTCCGAGGTAACCCCAGGTTCTTTCACTGCCGCTTAAAAGCAAAGAAGGGCGTGGACGAGCCCAGGTTCCCGTGGATGGCACTCTCACTTTACCTTTGCGTGCGCCGCCGTCGTCGCTTGGGTTACTTGGAGATGGCCTGGGGGGCGAGGGGTGTGCACCCCAGCTGTCCGGGCAAGGAGAGGGCGGTCAGCGGGTCCGCTGTTCTCCGTGAGAGCCAGCTTGCAAACATCACTAAAAGTACCGCACGCTTGTTGTGGGCAACGTAGAAAATAAGAAAAGAGCAGGGGCGCACGGTCGCTTCTGCCCCTCAGAAATGACTGCTGTAGACTGTGAAAAGCGCATCGCTGGAGGTGTGTCTGCATTTGAGTAGAAATGGGATTTCACTGTTTTAAAACACACTTTTTTTTTTTTAACATGTTAGAAAGATGTTCTCAATATGTTACTTTTCGCTGAATTCCTTCATGCCTTACAACGTAACTCCGGTTTGTTTTCCTGTTTCCGTATGTCCCGTTGGCGCCCCATCTCAGGAGGGGCCAGCAGCTGCTGTGGCTAGCCAGTTCATCACAGCACGTCGTCCCGTCGGGGCAGGCTGCTGTGCCCCCCAGGGCCGAGCACGTGGTGGCCGGCCTGGGGCCGTCGTTCAGAGGCCGACCTTTCTCCTCCTGCAGGTGTCAGCGGAAGCAGTGGAGGGTGGACCTGCCGGCCACCAGCGTGGTGATCACGTTTCACAACGAAGCCAGGTCGGCCCTGCTGAGGACGGTGGTCAGGTGAGGCCAGAAGATGCCACGTATCTGCCACCTGTCGCATCTCACGGGAGGCATTGCCTGTCAGGGACGCTAGACACGAGCCGTGTCTCAGATGTGGTCAGGCTGGGGCTTCCCTGGGGCGGGGGTGCTGCAGACGGGGTCACCTCACTGCTTAGCATGGGGAGTGGCAGATACTTCCTCCAGCCAGGAATTAGGGCCATGATGTGAGACTCCCCCACCCCGAGTGGTACCCCTGAAAGGCCCACAACCTTTTTATCTTTTTGTCTTTTCTCAGTGTGCTTAAGAAAAGCCCGCCCCATCTCATAAAAGAGATCATCTTGGTGGACGACTACAGCAATGATCGTGAGTATACTGAGACGGACTTAGCCCCTGTGTCTGGCCCTCCTCCTGGGCCCTGCCTCCCTCCAGTGAGGGAGCTAATGAGGCACGAACCAGCCAGAAACCAGACCCACAGAGAGAAGAGGTGCCTCTGTGATGCCCCGAGGAGATAATCGGCCCTTAGATGATTGAGAATTGCTATGCTTGAGTGCAAAGCCCTTTATAAACTCGAAGTTCAAAATGCTCTGCTTCTTTTCTTTTCCTAGCTGAGGACGGGGCTCTCTTGGGGAAAATTGAGAAAGTGCGCGTTCTTAGAAATGATCGGCGAGAAGGTAAGACTCTTTTTTTTAATTCACTACCAAGACAGTTGAATTTTGACTTTTCCTGAGCCCAGTCATAACTTAAAGAAGTGCTTCAGCTCAAAGAGCAATTAATTGCCTGGCCTTTTTGTCTGTCTTCCTCTACCAGAGCCACTTGGGAGCCCTCGCCCAGCAAAACACAGGAAGGACATTCAAAGCTTAGCTAATTGAAATTGTTTATATACTAGGGCAGGAGTTCAAATTATATTTTTATTTATGTGTTTAGAAGATTGGCTTATCTGTTCCTTTCACAACCTAGGAAGTCTCACCAGTCCCTTGAGTACAACAGGCCTTTAAAAGGAAAACAAAGACTTAGCAATGAGAAATTTAATGACTCCATGCTCCAGGCATCTGATAGGATAACTGGGATTCAAGTTTGACAGTCTGCTGAAAGTGAACTCTCCAAAACGGGGAGAGAGTGCTGCAATTACATGCTCATGCGGTTCTGCAAATGCCAGCTCAAAAACCTCACGTCAGTCTTGCCTGTGCTGGAGATGAGCTCACGGAGTCTCACTTCATTGGCCGTTTATAAGAGAAGCTCTGAAGGAGGAAAAGTCTTAACTTTGGAGTGTCTGGAAAGGAAGCTCAGATCACACTGTAAATAACACCCAGTGCATCGGTGCTGTCAGAGAGCCTGGTGCCGGATTCTAGGTTCCTCCACATTCTGGGGAAATCTCAATGTAGGAAGATCACAGAGCCACGTTTGGTATTCGAGGATGACTCTGTTGATGCAGGGGTGGTGATTGTATTCCTCGATCAACGCAAGCTCTTTCTTCTAGTTCCCTGTTCAGCCCAGCTGGAGTCAAGGATTGAAGTTTTCCTGGCGATACTCTAATCGGCCAATACAGTGATTGAGCCTGTTAGGGCAGTGCTGTCAGCACCAAATTGTAACCAGCCAGGGTCACCGACGCAGACATTCAGGATAAACAGACAATGAGATAGCCCTTGCCCCCCTCGGTAACTCGCATCAGCCCCTCAAGCCTGGAATAAACCCAAAATCTTGCGATTTGCTATGTTATTTTTGTCCCCTAAACAACCTACAAAGTCATGTAGGTTTATGAATTTAAACCCAAAGTGTCTGCCATCCCACCCCATCACCTAAAAAGGGACAAGGCTGATACAGGCTAAGAAAAGAAGAGGAGGAGGAGGAGGAGAAGCTGGGAGGTGGGGGGAGGAAAGACAGAGGGAGAAAAAGATCATGTTCCATGTTTGTAGTTTGTAACTGACAAATCACTTGCTAGCTTCATAACAGTGTGCCTTTAACCTGCTTGGAAATCAGAATAATACTTCTAAATGTTACCTTTTCATTGCCTTAATTTAGGATGTTCATTTGGGTAAGAATCCATATTGATGTGTTGTTTGGGGAAGGGATGAGGAGAGGAGGTTGTTGGAAGCCAGATTATAGTAGACCTGTATGGGACAGCTGAAGCATGTAACAGTGGAGTGAGAAAATAGGTGTGCAGGTGCATACACACACATGTATATATGTGCCTGTATATATTTGTGCATGGGTTTACATATATTAGATCTCATATATTAAAGCATACACACAAGTGCTTATTATGATGCTACTAGATGACAAAGTGAATTAATTGCATAAAATATTATAGTATGATAAGAGCTGCCATACGATCAATTTTAGTGCCAGGGATTTTATTGTGCATTGATTCTAACTTAATCTAGCTCTTTATTAGAAGCACTTGGGGAATTGAAGACCATGCCTTGACCCCACCCACGATTGAATAAAAATTTCTGGATCTTTACAGGTGGGGTCTGGACATCTGCATTTTTTAAAGCCAATTAGATGATTCTGATGTACATTGAAAGCTGAGAAACTAGTCCTTCTCATTTCACAGATGGAAATATTAAAGCCCAAAGAGGTTAAGTGGCCATGCAGCTATTTGATGACAGAAGTAGGGCCAAAACCACATTAATAATTTGAGTTAAGTCTTTTTTTCTGCATTTATGGAGATGATCAGGTGGTATTTCTTTTTTTTAATCTGTTAATACAGTGAAGTACGTTGGTTGATTTTCAAATGTTAAACCAATCTTGTATTCCTGGCATAAACCCTACATGGTTATGATGCAGTATCTTTTTTATATATCACTATTTGAAATATCGCTGCTATTTTGTTAAGGATTTTTACATCTATGTTTGTGAGAAATATTGGGCTGTAGTTTTCTTATAATGTATTTTTCAGATTTTGGTATCAGGGTTAAACTGACCTCATAAAACAAGATGGAGGGTCTTCCCTGCTACTTTAGTTTCTGAAAAAGTTTGCATAACATTTTAATTATGTCTTCCTTAAATGTGTGATAGAATGAACCAATCTAGACCAGGAGTTTTCTTTATGAAAAGGTTTTGATGACTAATTCAATCTTTTGAATGAATATAGGCTTATTCAGAGTCTCTTTCTTTTTCGGTCTGTTTTGGTAATTTGTGTCTTTCAAGAAATTTTCCATTTCATCAGAGTTTTCATATTCACTGGCACACAGTTGTTTATGATGTTCTCATTATCTTTTTCATATTAGTAGAATTAGTGTCAATATCCCCTCTTTCACATTGATTTTAGTAATTTATATTTTCTCTTTTTTTATCTGTCTGCTAATTTTAATCTTAAGAACCAACATTTGGCTTTGTTAACTTTCTCTGTTTTTTGTTTTCTGTTTTGTTGGTTTCTGCTTTTATCTTTATTATTTTCTTCCTTCTACTTTAATTTGCCTTTTTCTAGCTTCTAAAAGTAGAAACTTATATTGCTGATATCTTTCTCAAATATTAACATTTAAAGTTACAAATATCTTTCTAAGCACTGTTTGACCTGCATCTCACAAATTTTGATATGCTATATTTTCATTATCATTTAGTTAGTGGTATTTTCTAGTTTCCTTTATGATTTCTTCTTTGATCTGTAGATTATTTGTGTTCTTTATTTTCCAAATATCTGAGCCTTTTTTTAAAACTGGAGACTAGGTCTTGGTTTTTTGCCTGGGAACAAAGACAGTGGCATGATCATAGCTCACTACAACCTCAAACTTCTGGGCTCAAGTGATCCTCCTGCCTCAGCCTCCCAAGTAGCTGGGACTATACTTCACACCACCACACTCAGCTAATTTATCTGTGTTTTGTAGAGACAGGATCTCACCATGTTGTTCAGGCTGGTCTTGAACTCCTGACCTCAAGGATCCTTCCGCCTTAGCCTCCCAAATTGCCTGGTTTATAGGTGTGAGCCACCAGGCCTGGCCATATTTGGAGCTTTTAAATGTATCTTTTGGTTATTGATTTCTAATTTAATTCCATGTTTTCAGAGAACATATACTCTATGTCTATAAGATTTCAGTCTTCTGGAAATTTTGAGTATCTTACATCCTAAAATATGCTCCAAGTACATTTCAGGGAATCTATACTCTGCAGTGTTGAGTGTGGTGTCCTATATATATAAATTAGATCAGGGTGGTCATTAATGTTCAGATATTTAAGTCCTTATAGATTTTTTGGTCTATTTTTTCTCTTAAATTACTGAGAAAAGGTTGTTAAAGTAAATTATAATTGAGAATTTGTCTATTTTACCCTACTTATTCTGATAGCTTTTGCCTTATCAATATAGAGGCTATTATGCAGGTACACATTTATCAATGTTATGATCTTCCTAATGAATTCACCATATTATTATAAAATGTCTCTTTATCTCTGGTAATAATTTAGGTCTTGAAGTCTTCTCTGTCTCCTGTTAATAGGGGTATACCAATTTCCTTATACCTCCTGTTTGCATAGTGTATTCTTTTCTATCCTTTCCCAAGCTATGTATTTATAGCCAAAGTATGTCTTTTATACACAGATCATAGCTAGATCTTGCTTTTTTTATCCAGTCTAACAATCTTTGCCTTTTAATTGGAGTGTTTAGTCCATTTACATGTTGTGTAATTATTGATGTGGGTTTGGGTCTACTCTTTAGTTATTGATTCTCTATTTGTCCCATGGGCTTTTTGCTTTTTGTAACTATGTTCCTACTTTCTTGCTTTCTTTTGGATTCATTGATTATTTTTTAATTTATCACCAGATTGGGGGGCTACCTCCTTTCCAGGATCTTCTCCTTTAGTTTGCAGACACTAGAAACCCTGAACTCTTGTCCTCTGACACCTCAGTTATTCTTGTAGCTTTTAGTTATACTTTGCATGTGTGTGGTTGCTCTGAGGGTTACAGCATACATCTTTAACTTAGAACAGTCTACTTAAGCGGCCATAACACTTTACATAAAATGTAAAAACCTTTTCAACAGTTTAATTCCATTTCTGTTTCCTGCCCTGTACTATTGTTATCATATGTTTTTCTTATATATATATTAAACCCCACAATGCAGTGTTGCATTTTTGCTTCACATAATCAGTTATCTGTTTCCAGTTTTCAGTTCTGGAATGCCCACTTGTTCTTGATGCTTTCTTGTGGCTTTCATTTCTCTGTTGAGATTCTCCATCTGTTCACTCACTAAAAGCATTGTTTCCTTTGAGTCCTTGAACAAGTTGTAGTAGCTGCCTTTAAATCCTAGTTTGCAAATTCTAACATCGGGATCATCTCAGGGTGAGTTTCTCTTGACCTTTTTCTCTTGGGTTTGGACCACATTTTTCTATTTCTTCTTATGAATCACTATCTTTTAATTATATAAATCACTATTTTTTATTTTATAATGGACATCGGGGATGATGTAGAGACACTGGATCATATTATCTTTCTCTAAAGAGTGTTAATCTTTGTTGTACTGGGTGGTTAAATTACTAGGTGATGGCATAAAACTTGTGTAAGCTTGTCTTTATACTTTGCTAGGATGAATATATCTTATTGCTGAGACATAGTCTTTATTCTCAAATGGGGCCCTTCTGGGGTTTCTGGAGAAGAACTGAAGTGTTTAACAAGCCCTTTAACAATTGTAAACTCCGTGTCCCCTACGGTAGACAGCAGCTGAAACTGAGCCCTTTCTGGCCGTTACGTTTCGTGTTAGAGTTCACGCCTGCGTGGTTCAGGAGTCAGCCAAGGGTTTAAGGGGAAGTTACCATCAGACTTGGGGCTCACCTGCTTTCTGGGATCTGCTCCTGCAGTTGCCAGGCATGGGAGCTTTGTCCCCTGACACCCCGAACCAAAAGGCCGCATTGCAGGGGATTGGGGAGTAAGCTCAGGAGAAATGCCCTATAAACATGGATCTCACACTGTGTGATTTTCTTCTTTCAAAGGTTGGATCCCGTTAGTTTCTGCCTGCTTCTGGCTACTTTCCAGCCCTTTCAAATCATTGCTTTTTCTGTTTTGCTCAGAGTTTATAATTGTTATCTGAGCCAGGGTTTTCCCAATATGAGTTACTCTGCAATTACTACAACTAGAAATCTTTAGTTTTTTTCCCTGTTCTAGCATGTAGCTACATAAGAATCATTGAAAATCCATTTTGACTGTGCGAAAAAGGAATTTAAAACACTTGTCCTTACTAGTTGTGAATAATAGAATCATCTTCATATATAAATCCCAGAATAAACAGCAGAAGCCATGTATGACCACAGCATCCAGGGATAAATATACTATTATATTTACAATGAGACTTTGTGTCATAATGAAAAATGCATATTATTAATAGATCGCAATTATGTAAATTATATAATTGGACCAATAGTATAACAAATTTTGTGTAAAAGCCAATCAAGGCTTTGTCATTTATGTTATTTGGCTTGTGTGAAGTCTTAGAAGATAGAGATATTTGCAACACTGTTACAAATATTATTGCCACTAAAATCGGCACCATTAGCTCTTGAAGTGTCTAGGTGACACTTCCCTTTGTCCAGTTCATTAGAAAACTCCGATGTTATGTCAGAGGAGAGTAGCTTTAAAAATCCCTCATTAGTTGCTTGATAAAGGAGATTTCAATTATGTAAAGGCCTTTCTTAGAAGACAGTAGTTCCACGAAAGTTGTCTTCCCAATGATCCAATTAACTATTTTTTAGAAAGTCCTGGCCAGGTGCAGTAACTCGGTACCTGTCATCCCAGCATTTTGGGAGGCCAAGGCAGGAGAATCGCTTGAGGCCAGGAAGTCAAGACCATACAAAAAATTTAAAAATTAACTGGGCGAGGTGGTACGTGCCTCTCATCCCAGCTGCTCGGGAGGCTGAGGCAGGAGGATCACTTGAGCCCAGGAATTCGAGGTTACTGGGAGCTGTGATCATGCCACTGCTCTGCAGCCTGGGCCACAGAACGAGACTCACTCAGTCAATCAATCAGTAACACATTTTTTTAAAGTCCTGAGAGAAACCTTTTTTGGGAACAACAGGGCAATGTTGATCCTACCAGACAAGCTTGCAGTTAGCTCTCTGCCGGGCCAGTGGGCTGCAGGGCCGCGAGTGGGGCCGTGCCAGCAGCAGGTGCTGGGCTGTGCCGATCCTGCTGCCACCTCCGTGCACACCGCGGGTTCTCTCCTGACGCACTGTTGAACTCGTCTTCACAGGCCTGATGCGCTCGCGGGTCCGCGGGGCCGATGCTGCCCAAGCCAAGGTCCTGACCTTCCTGGACAGTCACTGCGAGTGTAACGAGCACTGGCTGGAGCCCCTCCTGGAGAGGGTGGCCGAGGTGAGGTGCTGGGCGGGGCCTTGCGGTGTGGACCAGGGAAGGGGCGGGGCGTGGCCCTGGGAGGGGCAGGGAGAGTAGAGCAGGTGGTGGGGGCAGAGGGGCGCACTGGCTGTGGTTTTCCTTGATGCCACAATGAAAAGAAAACGCCACTGGGAAGTGTGTTGAAAGGGCCTGGTATTGGCTGTAGGAATCCATCAGCAGGAGGTGCTATACGTCGGATGGGACATAAGAATCAGCAGAGCATGGGGGCCGTTCATTCCTCTTGGGAGCGCCCCCTCCTTGCCTCCCCAGCTTCGCAAAGCGGTCAGGACAGCGCTGGACATCGAAAGTGACAGCGGGTGCAGTGTCAGAGGGGCTTGCTGGGGACGCCGCCTCTGCGCTGTCACGTTAGCGACCAGGAAGTGGCGGGTGGAAGCCACACAGTGACCGGGTGGGGCTGGCGGAGGGTGGTCTGTGGCTACACCCTCCTGCACCTTCTGCCTTCTAGAAGCATCATCGCTAATATTACGTTTGGCCTTTTGTTGTTTCTCTTGCCTTCTGCTTGCTTTATTGACTTTCTTTCCTTCCTGTTAAAGAAAGCACTTCCTCAGGGGTGATAAAGCAAACTTAATGAAAGGAAATAGAAAGTGAACACATCTTTCTGCCCAAGTGTAGCGAGAGTGGCGGGCGGGCCGTTACTAAGTAACCACAAGCTACTAGCAATCATGAAAATCATATTCACTACCCTTTATTGAGTTCCAACTAGGTGCTTTCTATGCATTACCCCTGTGTGTGGATTGTTTTGTTTTATTTTTTGAGGCAGGGGGTCTCTCTGTTACCCAGGCTAGAGAACATTGGCACAATCGTAGCTCACTATAGCCTTGAACTCCTGGGCTCAAGCGATCCTCCTGCCTCAGCCTCCCGAGTAGCTGGGACTACAGGCTTACACCATCACACGCAGCTAATTTTTTTTTTTTACTTTTTTGTAGAGACAGGGTCCCAGTGTGTTGTTCAGGCTGGTCTCAAACTCACTCCTGGGCTCAAGCGATCCTCCCACCTCGGCCTCCCAAAGTGTTGCGATTACAGGCGTGAGCCACCGCACCTGTCCTATGCATTACCTTTAATGCACGTATTATCCCCATTTAGCAGATGAGCAAACTGAAGTTCAGTGAACTTTAATAATGTATCCAAAATCATACAGGTGGCAGAGCCAAGATCACAAAGCAGGTTTTGTTAAATTCCTGAGCCCTTTCTTACACATACGCACACACCTACACCAAGAAGAACCCAGCCCAGGACCCCCCCCTACCCCCACTCCACCACCTCTCACTCTCCTAGGCTATATTTACCTGGCCAGGCTGTCTCCTGGGAAGGCACGGCCAGAACCAGAGATGCCACCATGCTGTTTGGGTGTGTGAGAGCCACTCGCTTCCGTGGTCAGTTGTCAGAACTGCTCCAAATACCTCCTCCAAAATTAAGAAGAGAAAGTATTAAGGTGATTCATTGTCATTAATTGTAGTCTTATCAAAAGAAATGTAAAGCAGATTATATACTCTTTGACTCCCACACCTAGGGCCAGACTGAGCTAGGCAAAGAGGATTTCATTCTTCCCTGGGCTCAGTGAGCCACGTGGCTTATTTTTCATTGTAAATTCGCACCTGGGCGGTGTCAGAACTTTACAGTATTCATGTGTCCCTAATTAGTGTGTTCCTTAGTGTGTCCCTCTGATGTATGATGTTCTTAGCTCTGCTAATTCTGCTACTCAGTTGTTTTTCTAAATCTTCTGGCTCATAAGGGTTCTTTAAATGGCTCGGGTGAAGCACTCACTCTGGCTGGCTGGCGGCCAGGGGCAGAGTGGCAGCGTCTCGCCGGCAGCAGCCATCTGAGATTGAGGAGGTCAGAGACGTTAAATGGCCTTTATGTTCACAAACTCTGACCACCGCGATGGCAATGTGGCATGAAGGAATGACTCAGTCCAGGGGCGGACGTATTTTTTGGTAGAATCAAAGATAAGGCAGACTTAGACCAGCGAATTCTCTAGTTGGTTTGGTTTCCCGTTGGCTGTGATGATGTTGGTGTTCTGTACATCACGTGTGCTCTGTCTCCTCTGTCTCTCACACACACACTCCCCCTCCCCCCCATGTATTCACAGAAATATAGTCCTAATTTTGTCATGTGGGCATTTTAGTCTCCAGTCTCTTCCTGAGGTTTACTGCAGCTCAAAAATTGATAATCATTGATGTTAAACACACCTGAGCTTGGATTCTGGGAGAGCGAAAGCTACCCTGTGGGTGAAATTCTGGCATTTGGGAAAACAGAAAAGGACCCTGGGGACACCTTGGCACAGTCGTGCCTTCAGCTGGGCGACATGGCTGAACTGCCCATGGCCATGGTGTCTCCTTCAGTGGAGCGGTTCCTGCTGCGTACCCACTCCCGACATCCCTGGGCACAGACCACGGCACGTCAGCTGATGGCTAAGAGCGGGACTTTTCTGGGTTCTCGTGGCGGCGAGCTGGGTCTTCGTGGGCTTAGGGTGGAAGGTGGTGAGGGGCGGTCGGGTTTGCTCCCTGATTGCCTGGCACTGATGCCTTCTTTGGGTGGGTGTGGTTTATCGTTTTTGCTGGGATTTTGATCCCACTATTTCTTACGTTTTCTTTGTTTATGTTTTAGGACAGGACTCGGGTAGTGTCACCCATCATCGATGTCATTAACATGGACAACTTTCAGTACGTGGGGGCGTCTGCTGACTTGAAGGGCGGTAGGTGTCCATCACGGTCCACCTGCCTGGGCTCATCCTGTCCACACTGGCATCCGATCGCCACCCCCTCTGGTTGTTAGGAGTGACAGTGACAACAGCATTCACGCCGCAGTGTGTGCACTCTGAGTGAAAAACGTCTGTGTGCTTAACAAGTAGGACTTCATAAAGAAAGAAAAATAGCCTTGCTCCCCTTGCGAAGCTTCCTGGGGTTCCTGTTCCCTTCTCGTCTCCTTGACCTTCGTTTGCTCTGCTGAGCCACGTGGCCACTGAACAGATGTGGTGTCCTTCCTTTTTGGTTAGAGGCAATGAAGCCCTCTCTCCCCTTGGGGTCTGGGACAAGGAGACCAGCGCTGCCTGTCCCCACAAGCGGGATGTGAAGAGCTCCACAGAGCGGAGGTTTTGTGGAGCTGGAGGAACCACATCCCGTCTTTGCCTTCCCTGCTCACCCCAGCTGTTGCTCTGGCAGCCCGTACCTCTTCCTGGTGACCTGTGGCGTCACCACCTCCCTCTCCCAGGCCAAGGCCCTGGTCACCTAGTTCTGCTGGGTCTGCCCCTTCTGTGTGTCGTGGTTGCTGACCCGTCCTCCGCCCACCCACCCACATCCTGCTTCACTCCTGGGTCACTCACCTGAGTGACAGCACCATTTCCTGTGGGTCCTCACAGCCTCCAAGGGTGACCCCTCAAGCCCACCCCCCACAGAGCCCCAAGAGTGATTTGTCTCTTCACCCTCTTAAAAATTATCAAGAGCCCCGAAGAGCCTCTCCCGTGTGGGCCGCGTCAACATCGGCCATGTGAGCCGTAGAGCCCGGAAAGCGTTAAGACGCGAGGTGGAGCAAGTACACGTCCCGTTCTCCACCAGCCTCGCCCCAAACCTCCACCACGCGCCTCTGGTGGAAGGAGACACAAAGCGACACGTAAGGTTTTGTCTTAGTATAAAGTAGTTTGACATCTCAGCACTGTAAAAGGGTCTGTGGACCCCCAGGGGGTTGGGGACCATGCCTAGAAAGCTGCTGGTCTCATAAAGTGCATCCCCAGGAGTCACCCACCCCACTCTGCAGAGCCGGTCACGGCACGTTGGGCTCTTACTCTTTGCTCCTGGTCCTAGGACCGAGGCAGGTAGACGGGTGGCCTGGGCCCCAGGGGGCTCTGCCACAGCTCGGCGGCAAATGCCTCACTCTGCAGAACTCGGCTCGACGGCAGCCTTGCCTGAGAGAACTCAGCCGACAGCCAGCACGTCGGCAGAGGCTGCTCTGAGCAGCAGAAGGAGGTCGAAAGTCTTCGCCCCCTGCTTTCGTGATCTGTCCATTGGAAAGGAAACCGGTGGCCGTCGCCCAGACTGTCGGTTCTTTACACCTGAAATCAGCAAGCTCTTTTCCAGCCGGCCAGCGCCTTGGTGTGTGTAAACGAGGGGCTTCTTTCCTACCTCCCAGCATTTTTGATGGATTAGAAGATGGACTGTTCCAGACAGACACTGGACAGAAGGTCACCTGACAGTCTAACATCAAAAACAAAGAAGACAGCATACAATTGGGTCTTAACCTCAGGGAACGGAATGCTGGGACTGTTGGGTGAGATTGGGCCTCACCCCTGGCTGTTTGGGGCTTTGGCCCCACCTGAGAGGCACTGTGGTCATGGGTGGCCGTCTCACCTCTGCTCCTCAGCTTCCCGTCTGGGAAACGGGGCGGTGACTGTGCCAGCCACACAGGCGTGGTGGGATAGCCTCGTGCCTTCTGCGCTGTCACCACCCAGGGTCATGCCCAGCAGGGCTGGCGTGCTCAGAGGACTACTTAAGTTGGGAGAAAGCGTAAAAGTTGGAAAGATTCATAACAGATGGTGAGAAATAAAGTGTTTGGGGGCTTAAAGAGGAGAGACCTTTAAATAGCCAGAAAGCTCCCGTTTTCTGGAATTTCTTATTCCCCTGAACCTTTGGGGGAGCTGAGGCCGGATGGGCCGTTTCTCCCCAAACTGCTGCCTGTGTCCAAGCAGGGTGAGGACAGTGAGATGTCAGAGTGGGGTGCAGGCCTCCTGCTGGGTCAGGAGACGGGGGGCCACATTCACTCTAAGTATTTCATGAAATTCCTCGAGGGAAAAAAAAAAGCCAGGATAACATTCCTAGCAGAGCCTTAATATAGCTTATCTCTTTGGACCACATTAATAAATGATAAAAATAATAATAAATATCAAGAAAACATAAAGGCAACATGACATCAGTTGGCCTTTAGCGTGCTCTGTTAATAAACCAGGCAGGGCGTTGTTTTTCTGGGTGGACCTCCCAGCCTCTGCAGCACCTCGGTGAACCCAGCTCGGTGCCTGCGTAAGTTTCCTCTTGGAGGGTCACTGTCCCCACTGCCTGGCCCCCAGCCACTTCTGCTCCCAGCAAGGGGCTGGGAGAACTTTTTCATAGGGAGCCATAAAGGTGTGGTCCCCAACCCCTGGGCGTCTGTGGCCTGTTACGAACTGGGTACCCCCCACCCATCGGCCTGTGGAAAAATTGTCTTCCATGAAACGAAGGAATCAGGCCGCACAGCAGGAGGGGGATAGCAGGGGCCAGTGGGCGAAGCTTCATCTGTATCTGTGGCTGCTCCCCATTGCTCGCATCACTGCCTGGGCTCCACCTTTTCCCCCTGCCCGCCTCTGTCCGTGGAAAATTTGTCTTCCGTGGAACTGGTCCCCGGTGGCACGAAGCATGCGTGACTGGCCCGGGAGACTAAGGGGCCCCGCCTCCCGTCCTTCGGTCACTGGTGGCCGTCCAGGCAGACTAACCCTGAATTCAGAGCACACAGATGAGAGGCACGAACGTGGGCATTGCAAGAGCCTTGTTGACACAAAGCCTGAGGGCGGAGGGCTCAAGAGGTGTGGGGTTGAAAGGTGGCCGGCCCTGGAGTAATCGGCTCTGCCTGGCAGACCCTTGGAATCGCAGCTGCAGCACCACAAGCCGCGTGTTCGCGAGAAGCGGGGTCCTGGCGTACCAGGCCAGCTGCAGCAGGTGGGGCGCGCCAGCCTCTGAGCGGCGTGGCGTGTGGTACCTTGTGAGCAAGACCCAGACCTGAGGCCCCGCGACGCCCAAAACCACACCCAGGTACAAGGCCCGGGCTTTTCCATCCTTAGTGGCCTGTGGATTCTAAAGAACGAAATGGGAACAGGTGCCAGCTTCATCAGAAATCGAAGCTTGCTTGCCCAGTTTGCAGCTTCCTTTGGGGCGTTATCATCTGAAGTTTTCACATTCCCACCCGGTCCTGGCTCCGTTCCTGCCGCAGATACGGTTTGGGTTGCAATCAAGAGATGCCGAGATCAAGTTTGCGGCCCAAGCAACGGATGACACCTTATCTCCTCTGCACCGTTCCCTTCCCCACGGGGTGGTGGTGGAGGCGCACTGGCCACTTTCCACCTGGGGTGCCCCCTTTCCTCCCTCCTGGCGGCCCTGGGACAAGCACTGGCATCATCATGCAGATCCCAGCTCTGTTCGTGTGGTGCGTTTGTTCTTGTGCATTTCGACATTAGGAAAGGCTGGCCCACGTGTCTGGGCTGGGAAGGGAGAGGGTTCCAACGTGCACCCTCCCCTCTGGCCTCTCCCCCGGCGCCACCCCCAGGCATTCTCTCTCCCCTCCTCACCTTCTTCGGGTTTTTTGGTTTGTTTTGGTTTCGATTGAGTCCTGTTCAAGTATCAAGTGTTTATAAGCTGTACAGGGTGGGGGTGTCAGGGACAAATGGCCAGTCTCTTGTCAGCGCCCTGTTTCTTTTCCTGACCGGCAGGTTTTGATTGGAACCTGGTGTTCAAGTGGGATTACATGACACCTGAGCAGAGAAGGTCCCGGCAGGGGAACCCAGTCGCCCCAATAAAGTAAGTGCCGGGCATCCTTCCAAGTGTCCCCCCCCCAGGTAAAACCCCAGGCTCTGTCCCCTCTGCAGGGCCTGCATTGCCCAGACACCTGGTTGGGCTGTTTACCTGCCACCAGGTCATAGAATAGAGTCCTTTGAGGCCTCTTCCTCACATGTCATCTAACATGTGTTTATAAGGCACATGCACCAGTTTTGTGCATTCATGCGTGTATATAATGTGGAGTGCTTTCTGTAGCAGAGTGGGGTCCCCGAGCTGACCTCAGGGACCAAGGCGAGGGGGAGGTGGGCCAGTGTGGGTCTGGGCTGCTGCCCAGCAGGACTCCGCTCTCCTGTCGGCCCCAGAGGAGGTTGCTTGTGCCTTTGAACCCTGTGCTTTGTGGTTTGCAGGCCGTGCAGAGTCGTGGCTGGGAGTCGGGGTGCCGTCTCCATGAGGGGAGTGAGTCAGAGGCAGCACGCAGCTCAGTGAGGTAGCCTCTGCCGCACACTAGCCCCTTCCCCGGCTGCCGGGAACGTGATGGGTTCCCTCCTAGAGAGGAGGCACCTGAGCCACGACAGTGACAGCAGGAGCTGACACTGCTGAGCACTTCCTGAGTGTGTTCAGGGCTTTATGCCTGTGACGTTTTGCAATCCTTATAGTTATCCTGTAAGGAAACTGAGGCACAGAAAGGCCAAGCACCTTGCCTGTGGTGGCTTGTCAGCTAATGGTACAGCGCCAACAGTCACTCCCTCGTAGGGGAGGCTCGGTCCAGCCCCTGCCGCTGTGGGAGTGTCCAGGCAGGCACGGTGGGAGCCGTTTGTGGGCAACAGTGGTGAAGGAGAGAGGGGCACCCTGGCTCTGAGCAGAGAGCAAGGGCTGTGTGGCCGTCCTGAAGGTCAGCTTGCAGTTAGGGGTCTGGGCGTAGCCTTGGCATAAGCATGCTGGCAATCTAACCTTGACCTTTGCTCTGTCCTCCTTCCCTCTTCTCTCTGCCTCTCCAGAACCCCCATGATTGCTGGCGGGCTGTTCGTGATGGACAAGTTCTACTTTGAAGAACTGGGGAAGTACGACATGATGATGGACGTGTGGGGAGGAGAGAACCTGGGTACGCAGCAGCCCCTCGTCTCGGGACAGCAGCCCGCCCCGGCCCTGGGAGGCTGCAGAGTGACCACTCGTGGGGTGTGATTGGCCCCTGTAAATGCGTGCATAGCACCACCCCTTCCGCTCTCAAAAGCATCTGAGGTTGGGCATTGGAGTGTGTCCCCCTAAGTTAGAGTGGAGGATGCTAGAGTGCAGATACAGTCTTTGAAACTAAATGCAAACTCTTTAATGTCATTTGAGTCTGAGCATTTGGAACACAGGCTTGCAAAAGTAGAGGAAGCAGTCCAGGTGCGCAGGCTCGTGTTTGGCTGTGGAGCGTGGGGAACGAGCTCTGGCTAAGCCCGTGGGATTGACTGAATTGGATTCATGGAAATCGCATGGGGTGGGAGCCTGGGCATTTCATTCCTTCTGGGCTCCTTTTGTGAATGGCTCTAATTTGGGTGTTTCCTCCCCACCCCCTCCCACTTTTTTTTTGATAACTCCACACGCAACATTTTTTACCAAGGTTTAGGGCAATGAAATTTTACACATTATGGTCCATATTGGTAGCCTCATATTTATTCCATAAAAGATGAAAAGACTCTTGTTTGTGTCGGTTTGGGGGTGGGGAGTTAAATTTTGTTTTGTTTTTGCATGTTGCATCTGAAGCCTTTAATTTCAGGTACTTGGAGTTCTGAGCTCGTTATCCCTGGCTGTTGAGTATTAACTCACATCCGTCTTTGGGCGGGTGTACCCTGGGAGGACAGGGGACAAAGTGGGGGAGGGAAAATGAGGCCACTGCTGTTTTTAGTAGTCTTTACTTGTAACAGAGACTTTGATGGGTTTTGTTAGTCTAAAAGACTAGCCTAGCCTGTTATTTTTCTATTGTTTCATGATGTTAAAGTTGGTGATAACATCTCATCTCTGGCAGATTTCTCTGCCTTTGTTTGATGTTGAAAGTGCTTCAGACTTAGTAATTGCACTGGGGGAGTGGGAGGGACATGACTCAACTCCTTTTGGGTTTTTTTTTTTTAATGATACATTGACCTTTAGGCAAGGCTTGAAGTCATTTGTGCACAGAAGGCTGTAGGATTGTTAACCTTCTGAACAGAATTCTGAGTCACCTGCTTCCGCAGGCAGCCCCTGGTGACTTAGTGGAAATCCAGCCGGCCAGGTCCACGCAGCATGTCACTTAACGTCACTTTCTCAAAAACAGCGTGGTTTTTAGAAGTGTGCCTATTGTTAGCTGAAAGCATGGACGAGGCCGGTGAGATGTCAGCCAGCATTCTGTGTCGTAGCATAGAAAGAGTGCTGATTTATACGTAAGGTGACATTTCACCAGGAAACCAGAGGCAGGGGAGAGGATTTGTTTTCAGGAGCCCGGTGCGTCTGCAGTTTGGTTGTTACTTACGTGGCTGTGCTGTGTATGAGGTTCTGTGTGAGGGCCTGACGGGGGTTGTCTTAGGGTGGGGGCAGGACCCCGAAAGCCCATCTGTGCCCAGCGAGGTCTGGCATCTACCCTTCCCTGGCTGGCACTAACGGGTTGTTCTCAAGGACTCTTCCACTCTCGCTGGAAGATTCAGCAAACCCAGGGCTTTCCACGTGACAAAGCCATGCTGTGAGTCTTTCTGTCTCCTTAGTGCTGCTTCCGGCTTTTTCTTGTGGGTCCTGTGCATGCTGTTGTCCCGCCTGAGTGGCCTTTGTGGGTGTTTGCTGGGAGAGGTGTGGGGTACAGAGATGCCCCTGTAAAATCCCAAACCACCTCCGCAGCGTGTGTCCCACCAGAACGACTAGAGCTTCCTGCTTTCCTAACTAATAATGTAAGTCCTTACACAATTTCAGCAATTGCCAAGGAGGGCAAAGAACCTGACCCTTAGCTCCAAAGATGTAGGGGTGAGGCTCCTTGGGGACATCATTTGTCCTTAGTCCCTTCCCTCCTTCCCTGGATGGTAGGACGGTGCTGAGTGCTTCCGGTATATCATCTCAGTTTGTGCTTTCTTAATGGAATGTGGTCTACAGAGGTCATGCACCTGGCCCAGGGTCTCAGAGCCAAGATACAAACACTGACTGCTTAATTAAAAAAACCACCAAGTTTAATGAGAAATCATCCTCTAGTTATAGCATCCACGAGAAATCAGAGTTGAAGGTAACTAGTTGTACTCAGCCTTCAAAGTCTCCCAGCAAACCTCCCAACAGACCCCTCACTGGCTATACTGCCCGTGGAGAAGCCAGGGGCCTCCTGGCCCCAGTTTTGAACATTCCAGTGATGCAAATGTATGTTTAAATTTTATTTCCTGAAATACAAACAACGTCTCAAAGTTGGGTTGAACGCTATAAAAAGGAAAGTCAGAAGCCCTTCACTGCCTGTGCATGGGTGGTTATGACCACACGTTTTTATGTCACTGCAGAATTGGTCAATAAAGTCCCATAACAGCCACACGGGCCACACATTCCTGGTTTTTCCTGCTGCTTTAGTTGGCTGGTCCCGAGTAGAAAGCCACGTTGCCCCGACCCGAGTGGTGCTTCCTGCCTGGTGCTGTACGGCCCAGGCACCTGCTGCCCGACCGGGCTGCTGGTCTGGAGGATTCGCTGTTGGCGCACTTCATGGCCCGCGATGCTCTCACCCTGTTTCTGCAGATGTAACTCTCTGTGATTGTGAACCACTTAGTGGGGAATTCCGTGCAAGCGCTTCATCTGTCGGTAGTTAGGATAATGCTGGGATATGCATGATCTTCTGCCCAGACGACTTTATATTCAAATTATTAATGCATCAAGAATCAGTCTTGTCTCAAGGTTTTCGAGTACGAATCTGAAAGATACTTCTATGTGAACATACTTTCTTGATTGTACTGTGGAATCTAGACATCCAGGGTGTGTCAGACATCTCCCTTATAGAAAGTTCTGGACCATGTTCTGGAAAGAGGCAGATTGGGCCTCTTTCAGCAGTTGAGAGCAGGAGGAGCCCCGTGATGGGTGGTCAGGGGAGCTTCTGCACCCTGGGGTGGCTGCCGTTGCCAAGCAGCCTCTGTGTTCACCCACCCATGTCTTGTTCGTCATCTCAGAGATCTCGTTCCGCGTGTGGCAGTGTGGCGGCAGCCTGGAGATCATCCCGTGCAGCCGTGTGGGTCACGTGTTCCGGAAGCAGCACCCCTACACGTTCCCGGGTGGCAGTGGCACTGTCTTTGCGCGGTAAGTGGCGAGAGGCTGAGCGGGAACCAGAACATTGCTGACCACCCTTGAGACGGGACTTGGCCTTGGGAACAGGTGTCCTTCAGTAGGTGTGTGGTGCATTCACACAACAGAACACCACTCAGCGATGGAGAGGAGCAAGCCACCGTCACCCGCAACGGTGCGGGCGCCTTGCAAGGCATTACGCCGCGTGAAAGAAGCATCTTGTCTCCAGAGGTTACATACGTGATTCTACCTACGTGATGGTCTCAGAAAGACACAACTCCAGTGTGGGGGTCAGACCAGTGGTGCCCAGGGCTTGGGAGGGGGAGCGTGCCAGGGATGTTTGAAGCGGAAGGTGGGACTGCTCTGTCTCTTGACTGTGGCGGTGGTTGCACAGATCTCCCTGTATAGATGTTCTTAGAACTGTACACCCCAAAAAATATCATAGGAAAATATTTTAAATAAGAAAATGTATTTTTTATTATTTGATACCATTCGAGGTATAGTTAAAAACAATATTGTCTTAGTCCATTTTGTGCTGCTATAACAGAATACCACAGACTGGGTAATTTATGATGAACAGAATTCAATGGCTCATAGTTCTGGAGGCTGGGAAGTCCAATGTCATGCTGCCGGCATCTGGTGCGGGCCTTCTTGATACGTCAGCACACGGTGGGAGGGCAAAGAGAGGGCAAGAGGGGGCTGAACTCACCCTTCTATAACACACAGTCCCAGCCAGGAGAGTGGAGCCCTCTTGGCCTAATCACCTCTGAAAGGTGTCACCTCTTAATACTGTTGCAATGGCATTTAAATTTTACCATGAGTTTTGGAGGGGACAAATGTTCAAACCATAGCAAATATTAATCAAAAAGACATCATGACATGGAGATGTGATTTATGATAGATAATAGATACATTTTAGTAAACATGAAGATGCCAAATGAAGGGCTTTCCAAAGAAAAAATAGGACATCATTATTCTACCAGACCAAGTTTTTTTCCTAGGGAATTCTTTTAGATGCTAACAACAAAAACATCTTTTAGATGCTAACAACAAAAACTTACAGCAGTGTTGCAAGTCAGACCTTGGGGTGGTTGCCGTCTGGTAGGGTAGACAGGGAAACACACACACAGCTAAATAAGATAATTTCAAACACTAAAAAATGTGAAGAAGATGAAATGATGTCATGTGGTCGAGCGTGACAGGGGCAGGCAGGGGGAGGGGTTTGCAGGGTTGAAAGCACACGTGGGGACCCTCTGGCCTGTGACTTTAGACCTGAAAGGTGGGGAGGAGGTTGCCGTGGGACCCAAGGGACCAGGCTTCCTGCAGGAGGAGCAGGTCCAGGCTGCTGAGACAAGGGTTGAGAAGCAGAAGGGAAGCCAGGGGTTGCTGGAGCATGCAGAGTGACGGGGACAGTGGATGGGGCAGCAGAGCTAGACAGGCCTGGGCTGTACACCTTGGCAGGTCATGGGAAACTTTGGCTGTTATTCGATGCTGGAGGAAGCCATTGGGGGTTTTAAGCAGGTGCCTGCCTTCTCTGTTCTATGCTTTGGAAAGGTCCTTCTGTCTGCTAGGTGGAGGGTGGCAAGGAGGTGACACCACGGTGTAACAATGTCCCCTCTGCTGTGGGTGCCAGAGGTGGGGGAGGGAAGCCCATGAGCCCTGTTGCAGTAGCCCAGGCCAGAGATGAGAGGCAGTCAGGTGCCTCATAACGATGTCCTTTCAGTGACGCTGGTAAGATTACGACACCGTATTTCCACTGTACCTTTTCTGCATCTCAGTATGTTTAGTTGCGCAAATACGTCCCACTGGGTTACGATTGCTGCAGGATTCAGCACAGTCACACGCTGCGCAGGTGTGTGGCCTCCGAGTTATGGGCTGTCCCTATGGCCTCGGGGTGCAGCAGACTCTGCCATCTGAGTTTGTGCCAGTAACTCTGTGACGGTCACACAGTGCAAAATCGCCCAACAACGCACTTCTCAGAAAGTATCCCCCATGTTAAGCGACGCGTGACGGTACCTGGAGCAGGCGTGCGGCAGTGGAGATGGGGCAGGTCTGGCTCTGTCGTGAGGCAGGCAGTGTTTGCCATCGAGGTGGCAGAGACGGGGAGGCAGAGCAAGAAGCTAAGTGTTGTGCAGAGTGTCGTGCTCACCTGTGCTGACACGCTGCCCCTGCTGAGATAGAAGAGGGAGTGGGGTGCACTGGGGACCACTGTCTTGTCTTCTATATTGCATTTTTTTTTAACTTTTATTAAGTACAAATTACACAGTACACGTGTTGCACAGAAGTCGTATTTTTAGCGTAGAGAATCTGATTCCTGAGGAAACGTTGGCAGAAGCCAAAATAACAATGCTTCTGACCAAATTACCTTCCCTCAAACAGTGTGTGTTTGCACAAATGTCTAAGCTTTAAAGCTTCGTTTTTGCTCGCTTATTAAAAACAAAATATGATCTCACACAGCAAGCTTTACAAAGCCAAACACACACTTGATACACGTGCTTTTCCCTGGGGCAACAGGAGAGCCTTTCCAGAAAGCTCTTCTGTAAACAGAGCGAATTCCCCAGATCAAAGCCATTGATAACCACCAGCATCAGTGGGATCCCAGAAAACAGGATGTTAAAATACACAAGACGTTGCTCTCTTTCTTAGAAGAGAAGCATTTTCAGTTGCGTTTTGCAGCCCGGGAGCCTCTGTCTTAGAGATGTGGAGAAGAAATGACCCAGGGTGTCAGCGCTGGGGGCAGCCTGGGCCTGTCGCAAGAGGCGGCTGGCGGCCATCAGCAAGGCGGCCCTGCGTCTCTACTGACTCATCTCAAAGATAAAGGGCTGGCATCATAGGCCCGTATTTCTGGCTCCGGGTTCTCTTAATTTCCTACAAAGGTTGAGCATCTTTTATACGAAATGCCTGGGACCAGAAGTATTTTGGATTTTTTTGGCATCTGAAATATTTGCATATACTGCATATAGTGAGATATCTTGGGGATGGGACCCAATTCTAAATGTGAAATTCATTTGTGTTTTATATACACCTTATACGTATAGGCTGAAGGTAATTGTATGCGATGCTTTTAATAATTTTGTGCACGAAACAAAGTTTGTGTATACTGAACCATCAGAAAGCAAAGGTGTCACTATCTCATGCCAGTGCTCAAAAAGTTTTAGATTTTGGAGCATTTCAGGTTTCAGATTTTTGCATTAGGGATGCTGAACCTGTAAAATGTGACATTCAATGTTTTAAGTACCATCTAAATACCTGCAAAAGCAATGGAGGCCTGGGTTAAAGTGCCACTGTATCTGTAGCACCTGGAAGACAGTTGGTGTATGATAGGTATCCAATAAATACCCAGGTGAACCAATAAATAAATGAATGGAAGGAACTAGCCATGAGTATCACATGAAGGTCATTCTTCAAGGCTACCTAGATATCTTTTTTTATTCATAAGACAGAAAAGGATTGCTTTGCATTTAGGAATTAAGAAAGTATTTAATCACTTAAGGATTTAAGTGATTTTTAGAACATTGTGATTAGAATTCATAAGAGCCTTTAGGGTTGAAAGGGACATAGGACGTCCTTGAATCTCAGAGTCTTTCATTTTCCTCATGGGGCAGTCCAGTTGCCAGGAGGCTGAAGTCACACCTCTGGGGAGGTTAAGGCATAGGTCGCTTAGCAAGACCCCCAAATCCCACTAGGAATATTTCATGGCTCTCCCGAGAAATAATACTTTAATGATCTAGTATCACCCAGCACTTAAGTACTTGTTGTGTGTATGTAACTTTTCTTTTTTACAGAGAGAGTGTAAAAAATACTCTCATCACCAAACCAAACTGTACCATAGCACTCTGCTAATTTGGTGAATCAGTGTCTCAATCAATATCTATCTCTGTCTCCCTCTGCTGCTTCCACACACGTGCCATTCTGCGATCCATTTTATTGTCACACGAGTCCAGAACCTCATTCATGTCAACACATAGGATGTAGGATGTACACCTGTGTTTTTAGTGGTCATGGAATATTCCATTTATGTAATCACTTCCCTATATTCGGTCATACCGTTGTGGGGTTTTTTGCCATTATTTTAACTGTGACTCTTGGTGTTTGTCCATCTGTGCACGGTGAAAGAGACCAGAAAGCAGTTCTGAGGGTTCGGTAAGCATCGCCGAGCACCAGCCCCCCAGAGATCCAGCCTGGGGTGCTGAGCGGGGCGGCCTCCCCTCTGCTCCGTGCCCGGTGTCCCAGCTGGAGCTGCCGCACACCTGCGGGGACCTTCCTCGTTCTCGCTCCCAGCACACAGGTGCAAACGGAGTGGTGCTGACAGAAAGAAGCGAATCCCACCTCAAGATGATTTATTTTGTTTCTAGCAACACCCGCCGGGCAGCAGAGGTCTGGATGGATGAATACAAAAATTTCTATTACGCGGCAGTGCCTTCTGCCAGAAACGTTCCTTATGGGAAGTAAGTGTTCATTCTGCCTTCTCGTGCCCACGGGGATCCTGTGGTGGGGGCCGGGGGGCAGTGGTGACAACAGCTGCCCAGTTGTCAACAGGGCCTTCTGTTCGAGGCCAAATGGGCTCATGGGCACAGGAACCTGGATCATCCACGTTACACACCTGCCCCAACCCTGTTCTCGTAGGCAGATTTTCCTTTTTGATGTGGAGAGCCTGTTCGTTCTTAAAATTTATAAAAGAATCTTATTTCCCTCTTCTCCAGTATTCAGAGCAGATTGGAGCTTCGGAAGAAACTTAACTGCAAGCCTTTCAAATGGTACCTTGAAAATGTCTATCCGGAGTTAAGGTCAGTCCCCAGGGATCTGGGGTTTCACCGTGTTAGGGCTCAGAAGCAGATAAGTTCAGAGAGGAGCAGAGGCTTCGAGAGGGGAAGTGGAGGTCGCACTGCAGGCGACCAGTGAGAGCTTGTGTCCTCCCCCGCTGCAGTCCCCAAGCACCCTGAGAACATGCTTCTGAGCAGCTCTGTCCCTGCAGAGTCACCCTCCCCTTCTGCACGGCCTTGGAAGCAATCCAAGACATCACCTCGTGTTAGCTTGTTCTTCCACCTTCATTCATTGGTAAGATGACAGGCTGGGTGAGTTCGGGGACGTGTGTCTCACGGGCTTCTGGAGTGGCCAGAGAAGCAGTCCCCAGCCTCCCTGAGTGCCCTGTGCCACCTGCCCGGCTCCTCTGCCCGCCCCCTGCCCTGGTGTGCGCACCCTCGCCAGGGCCCGTTGGGAGGCAGTGGGGCCAGGGCCAGCTGGGGAAGACACAGAACAGGACATCAGCCTGTCACTTCCCATTTGACTTTGGCTCGCAGGGTGTTGCCATCCCTCCCAGGGGGCCAGCAGGTAACGGCCCCCAACAGAGGCTCGGAGCACAGGGCCCTGACCACGGGTTTCCCTGCTCCAGGCTGGGTTAATCCCACGTGACATGGGAATAGTGACACCAGATCATCCTTCCCGGAGGATCGGTGATGGCAGAGTACCCTCCCAGCCTCATGTCTACACGCGGCCCCACATTTTAAGCTAGTGTGAGCTCCTGTCCTGAGGGACCTGCCGATAACCCCGTCGGGAGCCCGTAGAGCTGCTGGCCTTCCGGAGCCATCGGAACTTCATCTTCTTAAAGGGACTGTCAGGCAGGTCGGGCCTTAATGTGGCACATTCCTTATTCTAAATATTCCCAGAGCGTTTTACAGCCACTCACATATCTCCAGCAGTGACTGTGAACGCGAGACTTGCCACCATTATCTTTCTGCTAACGGCTCCTTCAGAGCCCTTGCCACGGAGATTTGTTGGAGAGTTCGGTAATGCCCCTGGCTGCTGCTGTTCGCTCACTTAACTCCTGGGAACTGTTTCCTCCGCTTTCAAAAAATATGCGAGACACCGGGCACCCACACCCCAAGGGAAAGCAGGGAGAACGCGGCATCCTCCTGCCTCCCATCCTCTCTGTGCAGGGCGACTTTCGCTGGGGATTAAGAGCAGCGATGGTCAGCAGTGGGCAGCCCCTGGCCGTCGTCTCTCCCCCCACAGTGGATTTTAGCCCCGTGAAGGTCCCGACTTTGCTTTTGCTGTCAGAGTCCCCTGTGACTTGGTGGATGAGGGTGTCAGACAGAGTGACATTAAATGCACAGTTTCTGGCTGAAGTTGCCGATGATTTGGGGTGATGCCAGGCCCTGTACCCACTTAAGACCACGTCTAAGGCGCTGGGCACCACACCGGCTGGTTTCCTTGTCTGTGCAGGGCAAGGCAGGCACCAGCGTCACATTTTTATTGTGTCTTTAATAATTGCTCCCATTTACTGAGCGCTTCTTCTGGGCCAGGCACTGGGCTAAATGCTACACTTGATCTTAGCCAAAAGGCCAAGAAGCAATTGAGCTGAGTGCTTCATGTAACATGTTTTATGTAATGCATGCAGCAGGCCTCTTCCACGGGCATTGTGCAAAAGAGCAGATTGAGGTTCAGAGACAGTGAGTCTTGCCTAAGGGATCTCACGGGCAGCACCTGGCAAAGGTGGGGCTGAGGTTCAGGGCCGATTCTGAAGCGTGAGCCCCTCGCTTTGTGTGTATCAAGCCACCTGCCAGATCCACTTATTTTTTCCCGTGACTGGGTGAAGGTCAGATCCCAAGTCTATTGGAAAGTTCAAGGCAACGGGATCTGACCGCACCGATTGATTTTCTAAATGACTTCCAATAAGACCAACATTAAAGAGTATCAATCAAATGCTTTTCTAGAGAAAATTTCCTTCCTAAGGCAGAATGTAAAGAATGTGTCTCCAGCTTAAAATCTGAAAGACTTAGACATCCAAGCCAGGAGAAATGTGCTGCTGACACACCCTGCCTGCAGTGGAGAGGGACACGACAATGCCACCTGTGTGCTGGTGTCCCTGAGCAGAGGGGTAGGCGGCCAGTTGCAAGTGACCATGTAGAATTAAGCAGGTGATTCTCACGTTGCTTTTCAGGGTTCCAGACCACCAGGACATAGCTTTCGGGGCCTTGCAGCAGGGAACCAACTGCCTCGACACTTTGGGGCATTTTGCTGACGGTGTGGTTGGAGTTTATGAATGTCACAATGCTGGGGGAAACCAGGTATGTGTATGGGTGAACTTGATCACCTGCAGGCCCGGAGAGAGCAGGGATGGCAGCCTGAGGGCAGAATTCCTGGCTGCCACCTTTCTCCTGTGATGGGAGCTGTTTGGGAGGAAGCTCCTGGATCCTGCTGGTCACGGCATCTTTGGTCACCAGGCTCAGGGACAGATGGATCGAGCCCATCACCAGCTTCAAGCCAGGTGATACAGTGGCAAGGGGCGCACTGCACAAGGTTGACAGTTGCAGAGCTGGTGGCCTTAGTCTTCTTCCTGCCACCTCTGTCCTCCCTGCCACATGCACTCCCCCCACCACGGCTCCAGTTCTGTACCTGCATCTACGTCCGGCCTGACTGTGACATGAACACCTGCCTAGTGGCCCCAGTAATAGATGCTTAACTGGGGGTACTGGGAGGCTGCTGGTTATTGGCGTCCGTTGCCTGTTAGATAATTACAGCTTAAGATGTAACGTATTAATTATGAATTGCTTCAGTGTGCGTACGCCCTTTCCTATAGAGGCATAAGATCCCACCACCTCCCATCGCAGGAAGGAGGGACGGAGTGCAGGTTCGACAGGTCCGGCGGTGCCCTGCGCGTCCCACAGCAGTTTTCCCGTGGGACGATAGTCGGGAGTGGGTGGCACGTGCACTTTATGCACAGATAGGCGTGGGCACTGCTGTGTTCTCCTATCCCCCTTCCCCTGTTCTTGAAAACCTGCCTGGCACCAACAGGGCATGCAGTTAAAAGAAAAAGCAACCATCTCCATACCTGTCAATAAGGGAAAAAAAAAAAAAGAAAAAGCAACCAGACCGATTAACTCAGCATATATGTCCCAAATTCATGGATCCCATAACTTTTCTTTAACTAGAAGTGTGTTTGAAAGGGGCGCCTGCTTTTACGTAAAGTTGGCTGTTCGAAATCCCCCCCATAAGTGTCCAGACAGACCACGATCCCCAAACACTTTGGGGCTCCTTTCTTGACTTGCTGATGTAGTTTTGGCGGTTGCTAGAATGGCCAGGACATCCTAAGTTAGACCCGAGAGGGGAGCCTGCCTGCCTCAGGGCTTGCCTGGGCCAGTCCCCATCTGGCACAGGGCATGGGGTGTGGGGCAAGTGTCCAGGGCCTGGCCCGGCTCCCTCCGCCCGGCACGTGTGCCGTTCCCAGGCCCCACCAGTGTCTCAGCCCCGGGGGCCGGAGGATGCGCCCAGGGAACAGAGCACAGGCGTCGGGGGAGCGCACACGCCAGCATTCCCGCATAGCCAGTTTATAGTTTTAAATATTTAGCCCTGTGACACAGGAGCTCCTATGTGTCCTCTTGTTCCAGGCCCTAGAGGTGTCAGGAGTGGCCTGAAGGGAGGACCCCACAGTGAGGGAAGGGAGTGGTGGGGAGGGGAAGGCAGTGCAGAGAGAGAGAAGACGCAGGGGAAGGGGCAGAGCCGGCTGGCATATGTGGGTGGGCAGCAGCGGAGGCGACCTGGCCTGTCCTCCCCCCCAGGTGTGTTTCTGTGTCCTTGACAGCCCCTCAGTCCAAGGCGCTGACATTCAATGTGGTTGTCACTTACTGCTGGGAGACTGGGAGGCCTGGGTGACACCCTCAGAGTCTCAGGTCATCGGTGGCCGTTGCAGGGCCGCACACGCTATGGTCACCCCTACTCGGTGCAGGTGTGATTGGAGGAAGCCGCGTGGCGAGCTCTGTTCCTGCCACACCGGTCATTCGTGTGTTTCTTCCGTGCTCTGGGCTTCAGCGTTGTGGCAGGAAAAGCAGTGGGCAGAGGGAGAGATTTTCCACACATTTCCATCTGTAACTGCAATGAAAATCAACCGAAATGCCCCGAGAAAAGGGAAGCTCCAGGAGGAAGAAGGAAACATCAGATTTCAGTCTCAGGAAGCTGGGTTTAATCTGAGTCAGAACGCCGACTCTTCAAGGCTCAGTAGCACGGCGTCAATGCGGATCTCACCAAATGCAGAAATCAGGGTAATTGATTGGGGGGACGGCTGGGTGAACCCCACCTTTAGTCTGTGGACAACAAAACAGGAGGTGCCGGCCCACGTTCCGCGCTGTCTGGGTGTCAGGGTTTCTGTTACCCCCCCGTGGGGCCCCCTCTGTGACGTCCTCAACGTTCTGGTGACCCTGTGTGCGTCGGAGGGCCCGGTCCTCCCTGTCTCAGCGGCTCCACTGGAAAGAGACGTGTCTTGCGCCGCAGAGCGTTTAAACGGAAGCGTGTCCAGGCTCGTCCTGAAGGACTTCCTGGTCGGAGTCTCGGCACCAGCTTAAGTCTTCCCTGGGCTCTGTGACCGGCTCGGCCCCACTCACTGTCACACGTTTAGTTGCCGTGTGGCTGATGGCACAAGACGGAGAGCCCGGCCTGTGGCAGCAGCTCGGCAGTGAAGATGGAGACTTTGCCCGCAACCTCCCAGGAGGAAGCCTGTGTCTGCCTTTGGGACTCATGGCTGCGGCCCTGGCTCCCCAGGCCCTGCCTAGCAGGGGGGCTCAGGGAGCTCTTTCCTGCGCCGTGGGGGTGCTGAGCAGAGGGGCTGTGCTGAGGGGTGGCACAGCCCTGATCTTGGTGTGACGTCGGCTCCTTGTCTGCCTCTCGCAGACCGCAGGGGTCAGCCCAGGGCTGTCGAGGAAGAGACAAGATCAGAGCTGCTGAGCGCTTCCCTCCACTCGGGTGTTGCTTTTCCCTTTTGCTCTTGTGCAGCCGTTACTGTTATCATTCGGGGCCTTCCCTCCCTTTCCGGCAAATACTGCTGCCTGCTTGCCCCGCCTCATTCCCTGCCCACTCGGTCCCCCTGCAGGGACCGCACTCTGGAGAATCCTGGAGAGCCTTGCAAAAGACTGATGCCAGCTTCCACGCCCAGCTAGGGTTGGAGGGCACCAGGTCTTTAAAGTGCTCCCAAGTGACCTTAAACGCGGAGCTAAGCTGGGAGGGTTTTCTAGCAGGAGAGACGGCCATGTCGGCAGGTGTGATGGGACGAGCGGCAGCATGACGACATGATGTCCTTACCCACTCACCTGGGAACACCGTGCTGCAGGGACAAGTCTGAGCCAGCGAGCACCGTCTCATCAGCGCTGTCCAGTACAACCGCGTGCTGTGATGGAGTTTGGCGCCAATTCCGTACGGCAGCCACGTGTGCTTACTGAGCACTTGCAATAGGACTAGTGTGTATTAAATTTTCATTTAATTTTAATGAATTTGAATTTAAATAGTCACATGTGGCCAGCGTATTAGAGAGTGCAGTTCCATAGGGGGCAGGAAGCTTGAGATGGTGCTTGCTGCTGTTCCAGGTTGTAAACCCACCATGAGTAAGTCCTCCCTGGACCCATAGGACATGACGCTTTTTTGGGTAGCGTGCCACGAGGATTCGAAGGGAGAGGGCAAATAACGTTTCCTCACTGAAAATAGGGCACGGTGCTTTAGAAGAGTGAGGTTTTTATCTGGTTTCCGGCGGAGCCCCAGCAGACACACAGGAAATGGGAAAATTAATGGCCTTGCTTTTTAAGAGTGGCAGCTCAAAAAAGCATTCCTTAAATATTTATGAACTTTGCTTTACAAATTCAGATAATTGAAATGCAACAGAAGAACAAAGCAGCAACTAGCTCCGTTGTTTGCATAGCTGAATTAGTTTTTCTGGAATTCTGTGTAAAGTCCGCTTTAAAAGAATGAAGCACACAATAGCAGGAAGGTGGCAGAAACGTTCAGACGTCATCTTCAACCGGGTGTCAGCAAAACTTCCAACGTTTCCCAATTCCTGTTGCCAGGGATAGCCTAGTACCTTCTCTATACCAGCATCCTCCCACCTGGAACCACCTCTTTTTTTCTTAGAGATGGGGTGTCACTCTGTCACCTAGACTAGAGTGCTCACTGCAACCTCAAACTCTTGGGCTCTGGGGATCCTCCTGCTGCAGCCTCCCTAGTAGCTAGGAGTATAGGTATGTGCCACCAGGGCCAGCTTTTTTTTTTGATAGACACGGGGTCTCGCTATGTTGCCCATGCTGGTCTTGAACTCCTTGCCTAAAGTGATCCTCCCACCTCAGCCTCCCAGAGTGCTGGGATTACAGGAGTGTGATCAACCATGCCCAGCCCTACTCCCCTCTTAAGCGTGAGTGGCTATCTCTGTGTGCTGTAGTTTCACATGCACTGGCAATGTAAATGAGTTAAAAAGAGATAAGGCTGTACTTTTTCCTGAACCTTTTCATCCTGAATGTCATCTGTATACAGGAAAGCACACACAGCTTCCTCTCTCTGCTCAATACTTCCAACACTTCTACGGCCAGATGAATAGGAGAAAACAAACTGGTCTTCCTATTTTATACCCTCGCAGAACTTTCAGCTTCTGATACCAGATGTGTGGGCTTTTCCCCCCACACCAAGCAATCCTCCAGTTCTCTGCAGACGCTAACTGGGTGTCCCACGATTCAGTTCAGTCCTGACACTGCCCGCCTGGAGTTAGCTGCGGGCTCAGTCCCACGACGCTCCTTTGGGCTCAGTCGTTTGTGAGAACAGTTCACAGAACTCGGGGAAACAGTTTACGTACTGGATTACCTGTGTACTATGGAGGGACACCGCTCAGGAGCAGGCAGGTGGCAGAGGTGCGTACTGCAGGGTGCGGGCGTGGGGTGGGGTGACAGAACGTGCACGCCCTCTCCTGGTGCACCACCCCCCAGCGCCTCTGCGTGTTGTGCAACCTGCAAGCTCTTCAAGTCCCGCGGTGCAGAGATTCCTACAGAGGCTTCATCCCTCGGGCTTGATCGATTACAGACTCAGTCTCCAGCCCCCGCCCGCTTCCCGGATGATGAAGTCGGGGTAGGACTGACAGTTCCAAACTTCCAATCATGGCTTGGTCTTTCCGGCGACCACCCCAATGCAGGAGCCCACCAAGACTCACCTTGTTGGAACAAAAGGCTCTCCTGTCACCCAAGAAATTCCAAGGAACTAGCAGCTCAGTGTCCTCAAAGACCCAACACAAGAGCAGAAGGTGCTCCTAACATCCCGGTGGCTCAGGAAATGGCAAGGGTTTTAGGAGCCTTGTAATTGTGGCCCGAAACCAGGGCAGAGACCAGATATGTAATTTTATTATGTCACACCACCCTAAAGTATGGGTGACGTTGAGTGGCAGTTGGTGCTTTGGAAGAGCCGGCTATAACTCACCAGCTGTGTGGAATGACGGCGAGCCGCACGTGGGAATTGGACTGTGGGAGTTGGGTGGCCTTTCCCAGAGAATGTGGCCGGCGGGGCGGATGAGGAAGGTGCTCTGTGTGTGAGCATGTGTAGGGCGCTGCGGTACACAGGCCAAGCAGGTTTTTCCACTCTAGGACTTTCCACAGGCTTTCAGTAGGCTGCAGGTGCATTTCGAAGAGAGAAACATGGCACAGATTCCACTTTTTCCCAAATTTATTTGACCTAGAACCAGTTTTTCATAGAATTCCTCACGGAGAGTGAGATTTGAGAAACACTAATTAAAAGGTGAGAAAGAGGAAGCCCAGGGAGGGAAGAGACTTGTGCAGTTGTCCCTCCCTGCAAGGGGAGGAAGTCGAGAGGCGAAGGTCACTTCACTGAGTGCTAGACAGGCCACCTGTGCCTCCGCGTCTTCTCCAATGGGCCCTCCAAGAGCCGGAGACACGCCGCCCGCCCATGGTCATGTGAGGCTCAACACTGCGATCTTCAGGTTTTAATGTTCTTCTAATAACCGACCACCTGTTTTAACGTGATTTAGGTACTGGAGAATGAGGCTCCTTTAAAGATTGTGTTTCCCTGTCCTTAATGCTGTCCCCTGAGAACAGGGGAAAGAAAAACAATGTCTTCATGGCACGTGATGGTGCCTGAAGTTACAGAACATATGCATTTGTGTGTCACTCGTTTTCCCCACTAGAAAGTGAGCCCAGCGCCGTGAGAGCACCTGGGTCGTGCAGGTGTGCAGCAGGTGGTCACTGGACGAACGGGCAGGGGGAGGGAGAGGGCGTGGGGCAGCTTGCCTGCGCTTAGAGCAGAAAGGGGACGGATGGGGACAGGGTGTCCCTGTGGGGTGCTGAGTTGGAAGGGGCCTGGCTGCTTCTAGATCCTAAAGGGCTTACGTGGGTGTGCATCCCTTGGTGGGGTCAAGCTGGAGCATGATGGCCGGAAGCGTCACCTTCCTGTCCCCACTGTGGTCCTGCCCAGGGCAGGCTCTATCCTCCTCTGCCACCTGTGGCCACACTCACCCTCTTCTCTGTTGTGGGGTTTCTTGCCGCTTCAGATGGTCCTTTTTGGTATTCAGAATGGTTGTCCTGTCAACCCAGTTTCAGCCCTGAACTCTGTGCACGTGTGTGTGTCTATACACATACATATGTGTGTGTGCTTGTGTTTTTTAGAATCATAAGTGAGTTACTGAAACACTCACTGGCTCAGATTTCTTATCTATGAAATGAGAATAGTAATAGTCCCCTATGGGACTGTCCCCTATGGGGCTGTCATATAAAGGGCTTAACATAGTGCTTGGCATGTAGCACCCAGTTCAGTTAAGCTGTAGTCTGCCTGTGTATGTAAATACATAGATCCATTCCTCCAGTTTTCAAAGAGCTTCATGAACATTGTAGATCAACTTCGCACTCAATTATGAGGCTGTGCACTCTATATTTTGCTTAAGTTTGCAAATTAAATATGCCATGTATAGTTTTTGCATATTACAGTCCCTATTCATAAGTGCTGTTCCAACCCCTGCCCACATGGGGGCAGAGTCCCTCCACAGCAATGTGGGTGGGCCAGTTGCCCCTGACTGTCCACCTTGTGGACAACCAGAGTCTGAGCTGCAGTTTCTATAGCTCACAGTTAGTTGTAGGAAAATGGACAGGGTGTTCTTGCTTGCATTTTGGACTAAAATAGTCAGTACCATTCATCTTAGTTACTAACATTCTCAAAGCATTTTTGCACATCTAATGGCCAGCTAGTGCTCAACTGTGAGGTTCCCCCCAAATCCCCCATGCTGTAGATTTGTCCTTAGGCAAGAAGTCACTTGTCGGTTCTGAGTTGGCTCAAGAGTTCTAGATTGCTCTCCAACGTGACATTTCCCTTCTGGAACCCCTGCTGATGTCCCGTCCTTCCTTTCACGGCCCACTCGTGGCCTGCCTCTGACTTCTCGTTTTGTGTTCCAGGAATGGGCCTTGACGAAGGAGAAGTCGGTGAAGCACATCGACTTGTGCCTTACTGTGGTGGACCGGTCGCCGGGCTCTCTCATAAAGCTACAGGGCTGCCGAGAGAATGACAGCAGACAGGTATGGTCCTCGGGCACGTGTGGATGCCCGTGCTCAGCTCAGACCAGGGCGGTGTCTGTCCCCAGCTTTGCAGTGCCCTGACTTGCCCCTGGCAGCATCAATGGCAGCGAGCACTTGGTGTTTATTTTTATTTGCATCACTATTTGCATGTCTAGCTGTCTGTCGGACTTAAGCCTAGGCCTGACGCTGCTTATTTCTGGTTACATTCTCACTCTCCTCCCCATGCCACTGAATATTTTAAGGAGAAATTACATGTTTTGCTTTATTCATGACATATTTTTAAAGTTACAGAAATTCTAAATGTTTAAAGTTCAAAGGGATGAGACTTTATACACATACATACATGCAAGTATACATAGCTGTCCTTTATATATAGAGTATGTATAGCTTTCCTTTCTTCAAACAGTTCAGAACATACTTCATGCCTTGTGCGCTGGTATTCTGTGACACAGTCACTGATGGAAACTTGTAGTCACACCCCGTCTCGAGCCGCAGGAGCGCGGCGTCAGGCATAGAAACGCAAGCACAGAAGGAGCTCTCAGCGTGCCCTTAGGAGATGGATGGGGTATGGGGAAACTGAGGCACAGAGCCTACTGGAGCCAAGAGCCTAAAACAGGCTTCTAGTCCAACACTTAATTTCACAAAAAGGGAAGCTGAGGCCCAGTCAGTCAGGGCCTTCCCCCAAAATCACCTGGGAGCACCGAGGCCAAGCCCGTGACCCCAGTCGCCCGGGAGGTGCTCGCCGAGGGCTGTCTCGTGTCTGTCCATCTCCAGATCCCACACCTGGCTCAGGCGCCCTCCTTCCCTGCTCTGCAGAAGCCCTGCCGTGTCGGCGGTGGGGGCTCCAGGCTCTGCTCACTGTCAGCGTCTCTGCATGTGTGTCATGTTGGTGATGCCATTTTGTGACTTGCTTCATAGTGAGGAAGAGAGTGGCTATTAAGCAAGGGAAGGTCACCGTCCCTTGGACCCAGATCACCTAGACGTTGGCCAGACTGGTATCTGCTGAGCCAAGCATGTGGCATTTCCCCTGGGATGTGACAGGGCAGGGATGTCTTTGGCTGGAAAGAAATGATAAAGCAATGACTTCAGCTGGTCTCCAAACCTTTTTAGAAAACAAACCGATACTTTAATGTGGCTTTATTTCAAGACTTGACAGGTGTTCCTGCTCCAGTCCCAGTTCGTGGGAACCGTAACTGACATCCCTAAAAAGCCTTTGTGAGATGTAAAGAGACCTATAAACAATGAGCTTTTCTAGATTCATGGTATATGTAGGTGAGGATCTGTTAAGTTTTAAACCCCAAGACGTGGCCTGTCATAGCGGATGTGGGTGGAGTCGAGTCTGGCCGTCTCAAAACCTGCCGTACCCCACGGCGACCCATCAAACAGATGGCTCGGAGCCCACGAGGCTGCCTTCCAGAGACAGAGTGGGGGTTGGTTATTTTTTTTTAAGGTTCTACATTTAGTTGATGCTTTGACACGTGACAGGAAGTGTCCCTCCAGCGGCCAGAATGGGGTTCCATTCATCACACATTCTTTGTTGAGAAGAGTCCAGCTTCTCAGAATGACATGGCAGCCTCCATCCACACTTTACATGACAATGCAGGAAAACAGCATGAGGATGACTGGCAGGAGCCAGGGAGCCTGAAATGAGTGGGGAGGTCGTGAGCGCTTAGCTAGAGCCTCCCCCAGCCCACCTGACTGCAGGACTTGCCCTGTTGGCAGGACTTCAGGTGGTGGCAGGGCTCGGACGTGTGGAAGGTCAGGTCCCCATGCCCTGGGTTCTTCCCACCTCACCTCTTTGCCCTTTGAGTGGAGGCTCCTTAGCAAACGTCACCTCGGAGCCAGGCCGCCTTGCCAGTGGGGGTGTCTGGTTTCCGGGCACGTGCGTGTGTTCCTATGATGTGTGCGTTTGCAGAGTCCAAGGGGAAAGGGAAGCTGGAGTGAGAAAATTGAATTCCACAGTGTCAAAAGGATTTGCAAAAATACTTACGTGAAGGAGCTTTAGTGCACACAGCGTAAAAAATTAATTAGAGCCGCAGACGACTGCATTATTGAAGGGAGAGCTTTTGGGAGGAAAAACAGTGTTTCCCTTTTTTTCCGTTCTTCTTCTTAAAAATAAACATTGGAGATTTTAAAATGGGGATAGTTGTGTGACTAAACAGCAGGGTGTGGGGTCCTCAGATTTCCCTCTGGCTTGGGGGTTGGTGGGTGGGGGGTTGGGTCTGGCTGTGGGTTTGGTCGGAGTGTGTGTTGGTTTGGTGTACCCGCACTTTACAAGGGGCACGTTCAGAGCTCAGGGGGACGTCCCCACCCCTGCCAGGCGGAACAATGAAGGGCTCCAGGGTGGCAGGGACAGGTTTCTCACGCCCACCCAGGAGCCCACGAGCTCGCAGAGTTCAGAGGCTACAGAAGGAGATTCCTCAGCGTGGTGGTACCCTCTTCTCACAGTGTCTCTTTCCCTCTCAGTTGGCTAAACGCTGCTCTGCTAAGGACAGACCCCAAGTGGGAACCAGGAGGTGCCCAGGCCAAGACCTCCGGGAGGGCTGCTCCCAACTGGGGGGACAGGCAGGGCCCTTAGAGCCAGCGTGCTGTCCTGGGGCTGCTTTCTGGGGCTGGAACGTCACGGGATCAGGCTCTCTTGTGAATGATGCAAAATCCCCACATCAAGTCCAGAGCACGGGGGCTTGGAGCAGGGGACACCCAGTGGGGCAGAGAGGAGGTTCTGAGTTTCCAGCCGAGACAGAAAACACATTTCCTGCCTGGGCCCCAGCAGCACCCACGGCTGATTTGTCCCAGGGCCGTTGCAGACTCCCCTCCCTATGCTCAGAGGCCAAAAAGGAAAAAGGACCCCCGGCCTCGGCCCAGGGCGATAGGGGCAGTCCCTGCCGTGCGTGGGGATCCGCTGTGTGCTTCTGGTATCTGCAAACCTGGATGGGTTTCTTATTTTGACAGATGTTGCTTTGGGTCTTTTTTACATTAAATTTCTTTTCTCCAAGGAATAAAAAAGCAACCCCACAGCTCCTAGGACACACATGCTGGTAGCACCGCCGCCCTGTGACCGGGCAGACCCGTGACGCTGTCACACGCTGGCTTCGGGCGAGCCGTGATCTGAGCCCCACACGTTGGGCTTCACGATGGACTGAGCCGCCTGCGGAGCGGCGGTGGGGCCTGTCGGCCTGAAGACGGGCCGGGCGCACAGCCCCCGCGCCACTGGCGTCCTGGTGTGCTCTGCTCGGGCATCGAGTGCTGCCTCACCGCCCCCTCGCGCCCTCCTGGGCCCCTCCTGGCGAAGGTGACTGCTCTCGGGGACTCTGGGTAAAGGCTTAGGAAGGGTCAGGAGCAGACAGTGCCTGCTAATGGACACCGAGGATTCGGGGCAGGAGGCAGGAGCCCCGTGCTCCTGGATAAACCACAGTCGTGAACTAAAAGTCCTAACAGGAGGAGATGCTGGGTGCATGATGCTCTGGAATGTTCTTCCAGAGCCCCTCTTGCCTCTGCAGCATCCCCACACGCAGGGCAGGGCAGGCCAGCCCTCCACCTGATGGCTCCTCTGTCATTCCCATGGTCACTGCTCTGCTTCCTTCTGCACTCCCCCCTCACCCCTTTACACCCCCCCCCACACACACACACACACGTGCTCAGTCTCAAATAGGCCTGGCACCATAAACGCACATCTGCAGCCCCTCTGCGGGGACCTCGGAGGCCATGCAGTTAGAAGTGGCTGCGGGAGATTCTGCTAATGCCACCCTCTTTCCCACCTGTTTCATGTAGGAAAAGGGCCGTCGTTGGTCCTCCCCGCTCCCAGGAGCCTCACGTGTGTACGCTGCAGTGCAGAGGCCTGGCTGGGGACTGTCCCATGTCTCCCCCTGTCCTGCCTCCTGCCAGCAACCAGGCGTGTTTCCTGCGGCAGTGAGACCCTAACTCTGCGTGCTTCTGCCTTTTGTGGAGGGCTGTGGGGAGGGTCTAAGCAAAGTCACTCCTAGGGACACGTGCGGGGCGCATGAATGCAGCTACTGTTAGAGGGGGAAAAAAACCGTTGATGTCAGACAGATTCGGCGTGTTTTTAAATCAGGTTTTTTGATCAATCCTCTGCCCACGCACCTCCCCCTCCAACGTCTTGGCAACTTCTGTACCATCAAGGTGTGTCTAGTCAATCCCTGTGCTGGCCGTGCCCTGCGGGGTGGCACCCTGCATCCTGTCCCCGAGCTGGGGGACGGTGCGGGCGTCATGAGTGGGGCAGGCTGGGGAGGGGCCCTTCGCGGTGAGCTATGTTTACATGACACAGTGTGCCAAAGTGACTTACTGTGGTTGCGTTATTTTGTAGTCATCGGGGACTGCCCCGCCTTCCCACTCCTGTTTTTAAAACTAAAAGTTCTTTCCTAAGAGCCCTTCGAGCAAAGCGTGACAAAGTCAGTCGTCTTCTCTGTGGTGGTCTTTCTTATGTCTTCATAAAAGCTAAAACGATGGTATCTGTGAGTATGTTTTGCAAATTCGAAATATAGTTTGGTAATTTTTTTTCCAGTTGATTTTTAAAAAGAACTGCTGTACAGAGCTTGTACTTTGTCCATTTTATAGATGGAAACCATCCTTGAAAATTGTTTAACTTAAATAAAGAGAAGATACTTTATAGATAATGCCGTGTGGCGGTGGCTGCGGTCGTCTTTCTTGATTTTCGCACAGCGTACGGGAGTGGGTTTGAGAACGGTGATTATGTCTTCGGGGGGCTCCTGCTTGGTGTCTATTTCTTGTCACACTTTTTAAATGCATCCGCCATGCATCACTGCGCCCTTTTGTTATTCTCGTTTGTAATAATCGTTATCATTTGGGGCGTGTTTATACGATGTGCCAGGCTCCCAGCCAAGCCCTTAAATATTAAACATTTGCATTTTACAGCCACTGGGGAAGCTGGTGATTGATGTGGCGACCTGCCCAAGGTCACGCTGCTCCTCGGTACCCACCTGGCGTCAGTCCTGGGCACTGGGAACCCAAACCCTGGGCCT